TTTAAGAGTGTGCTCCTAATCTCAGCTCGTTACCTGTATAGAAGACACCTGGGAGTCAAAAAACTTAGTGATTGAGAGGGGGTCAAATACTTATTTCCCTCATTAAAATGCAAATCAATTTATAACATTTTTGGCATGCGTTTTTTCTGCATTTTTTGTTGTTATTCTGTCTCTCACTGTTCAAATAAACCTACCATTAAAATAATAGACTGATCATTTCTTTGTCAGTGGGCAAACGTACAAAATGAGCAGGGGATCAAATACTTTTTTCCCTCACTGTAACTACTCAATTCCCGATTCACAAATATCAAGGAGACATCATCATCACAGCGATACACTCCACTCCAGCACTCCTGACGCAATCATCCGGCTCAACCGACTCAATGTAAAGTCGTGGTTGTTGCGCTACAACCAAAAACGAGGAAACAACTTATTGCAAACCAACAACAAAAACGAACCGCAGATGCTGCAAACGTTTATGCGGGTATTATCAAAAGCGTTGTCGCAAAAGCAGCAAACACACACACACATAAAAAAAACAGTCACTTCGTATTTACATCAAAACAAGCCCATGGGCCAGAAATGCATTCACGACAACGCGTAGGATGATCACGGCAATGAAACCGCCACGCGTAACATGTGCTGACCCGGACGGTGAAGGATGGAGCGGCTCGTGGGGAAAGTCACCCCGTGAAGAAGTCCGCACTTCTCTTCCATACGGGGCACTATTTGCGATTCCCACCCCATCATTGAGCCTCTCGTATGAGTTCCTGTAGCTCTGTTTGCTCTTCCTATCGACGCCCATTGTTCTGTTTATTGAGGTTTTATTTATTCTCCCATCGTGTTGCATATACCAACACCTGGGGAGGAGAGAGAGAGAGAGAATGGTGGTGGTGGTTCTCCAAGTTTACTCCCGGTGACTTCATTTCAATTCCTCGTCTGCAGGGGGCGCTCTGGCTCCTGCCAGCGAACCTTGGACGCTTACAATTCCTCCTCGCTCTCTCACTCGCTGCGTGTTTGTCCGGCCCCCCCCCCTTCCCCGCCCCCCCCAATCGCATAACTGTTCTCACCAAGAGCCGGGAATATTCCGTGCTGCGGCAGTCTCTCTATCCATTAATGGCCACCCGCTCTCTGATTCCCGTTATTCGTCGGTGTAGTGTTGTTGTTGTGGTTGTTTTTTTTTCTTCTTCTTCTTATCTATTGAGAGTAACGTTAGATATGCGGGCAATTGACAATGGGGTTTCTGCGTTCGGCTGATGTAGGGCGACACAACTTAGATACCTTTACACTGGGATACGGTGTTCGACTAAGTTGTTGTATATCGCTGTATAGTGGCACCCGTCGTTGTCATTGCGACGTGAACACGGCAAAAAAACAGAGTTGGAGTCCCCGGTCACGGCTAACATCGGTGACGAGTTGGCACTTGACCAGCGTGGTGAAGTATGTAAAAAAACACTCCCCTTGAGTGGCACGGGCATTGGGGGGGGGGGATAGGGGGGAGGTCGTCATTCAAGAGATGAATTGACAAAAAGGCCATTGTACATTAGTATTGTTATTACTTGCATGAGTACTATACCGCTATTGATATAATCCGTAAGCTCGTGCGCTTTTAACCTTGCACGCTAAAACCTTGTGACTGGATTTTGCAAGAGCGCAAAGCTTCCACTTAATAACGAGCGCCCTTTTAGTGTCGAGCGCGTTATCTCCCCCCGCCCCCCGCTCCCCGTATCGCACAGTTGGCTACGTACGGTGCGAAAGAAGTCCAGCATCTGCACAGCACCCAAAGACGGATTGTGTCCATAATCATCGCGGGACGGTGTTCACAAACGCTCTCCCCACCAATGCCAAGACAAAGGCCCCCCGTATAGCCCTAACAGACTGTTGGGGCAAGTGCTGTTAGCGAGCAGTACCGCTGAAGGCCGGCACGGCACACGAGGGGGTGGGTGGCCAACAAACACGCCCGGCCGCCTTTGTCTCCCGAGTGGCGATTATTTACACACCGCACCAGGTACTCATTTGAGGCTGAGTCGACCTAGGGGACGCCCGGGACAGGTTCAGATAATCGTCACCGGGTGTTGGCCGTGAGCGGGAATCGAACTCGGGTGGGCCAGGTTCGTAGCGCAGTGCGCTGACCACTGCACCACCGCTCCCCGCCGCCACCACATTACGAATTCCAATTGCGCGCTAACAGCAATGCAGATCGGTGCTCTTATTTGTCATTAACCGATAATTAAATGGGGGTGTGGCTATCGCCGGGCTTTAACACTCGGCACTCTGCTATGTTAACGTTGATGTCAGGTGTCTCGATACGGCGATTATTCTTCTATAATTATTAACAACTAAATGAATAACGTGAGTGTGAATTAAGACATTACATTCCATGCGTCTGTTACTGGTACATGCTTTGTCTATGAAGGTATCAACAATTATAAAACAATTAGAATTCGCAGCTTGAGCTATATCGATCACATTATACACACGCACACGCATTGGTGTGATTAAATAATCGCACTTCAGCGTACATGTAGAAAGCTTTGGCTGCGCCTCACAGACACCGAGGAGTTTTATATATATATTTCCCCTCGTTGCCAAGCCCAATCTCTTTCAAGTCGCATCCTCCACGTGTCACACGCGCGCGCGTGCGTGGGAAATGGTAACGCCGAAAAATCGGATCGAGCAGACTACATCGCCGTTTCATTTCGATAGCAAGCCAGAGTCCCGGTGTGCCACTGCACACCGTTGCAAGCTACAGACACATCCAGGGTAATCTTAATACGAATGAGACCTGTCTCTACAAACAAAACAAAAAAACTCACGTTGAATATGTATCTAAGTAAGCACGCATCCATCGATACGGAACTATGTTGTGTGTGTTTTTTTTTTAAACATGATTAATAGTATTTCCCGTTATTGAACATTAATGGTTTGGACTCGACAGAGGACACCAAATCAATGCATTTAATATTTATGAAGTTGTCTCATGCAAGGCTGGTGAAGCATTTCAAAAGTTTGGAAGTAGGATGATCAAAACTTCTCGCGTGGGGGAATGTTCGATAAATTATTCAATAAATACAGAAATAACAAAATAAGGTTAGACCTAGAGGTGGAAGCCAGGGGACGTTTTCGCAATGAAAATGAACTCGGCCTCCAGGAGAGGATTTAGAATGTGTACTTACTACTCCGGCGGGAATTGGAATTTTACCAAACAAAACACATACATACAGCTTTTGCCAGCACACCAATTTTTTCTTATAAATTACAGAGCACGCCTCTCTTCAGACTATGCGCGCAAGAGAATGCCACACCGTCTGGGATTTTTAAAAAAAGCAGCTCAAAGAAAACGCGTCTGGAGAATTATCAAATCCACATTCTAGCCGTAGTTAATGTTTTGAAAGCTGGCCTCTGGTTTTTAAAAGCGACAATCAATTCCTCTCCAGCCGCGTTGAGCCGATGGCAAAGCAAACACGGCGCTATTTGCTTTTCCCAGCGGGGAATTTCGACTCCCGGACTCTCGTCTCTCCAAGTGGCACCAGGACCCGGCCCGTCGCCGTCTCTTCCTCCTCCTCCTCCTCCCAGATTTATCAATCGCACCGCGCCTCATCCTGACGCGCTCCTTCGAGTCAAGCCAAAGGCCCATCGGCCAGTAGCGTCGCGGGCTCCGTTAATGCGCACTGATGCCGGCCGACAGCCGAATGCATCACGTAGTCGCCGCTTTCCTCCAATTGCTCCACTACGTGCTGAAGTCACCGGCGAGATGCCTCGCCCCGGCACGCAAACCCCACCCCCGCGAGCCCGCGTGCTGCACGCAGCTCCCGTCAACCCCCCCAGCCTGCGAACCGCCGCCCTCTCATCCCTCCAACTCCGCACACCCCCACCACACCCGAGCAGCCACCCCCCCTTCGCCTCCTCCTTCTCCCTCTCCTCCTCCCTCTCCTCCTCCGCACCGCACGCCCAGCGCCACCCCCCGCGCACACGAGCCCGACTCAGTGTGCGGAGAAGTGCGTTCGGGCTTAATTAAGCAGTTGCCCCGGCGTCTGGGATACAGAAAAAAGCGTGAGAGAGAGGAAGAGGAGGGGGGGGGGGAGAAGCCACACAGTCCCGGCGCCTGCTCGGCGCACAGGCCCGGGGATAGGGAGAGAAACCATACGGCAAGAGGAGGAGAGAGGGAGGAGAGGCAGCGCGTCCCGCGCGCGCCCTGGAGAGATAATGTGCCGCGCGTTCGGAGCGATCGTCTCGTCCACTCGTGGCGCCCATCTCCACCGCAAGTGAGGACATTTGCGCGAACGGGAAGGGAGCACACGCCGGCGCGCTGCTGCTACCACCAGGTGAGACGATACCGCGTTCATGCGCAAAGGCGCGTGTGCTTTGCGAGCCGCGTGAACACTCGTGCGTTATCTTCATTATCATCGTCGTCATCGACTGTTACCACAGTTCACGGCGCCGTGGCATGTGTTACGCACATGTGTTACCCATGTGTGTAACATATGCCGTCGGTGAAATACTGTATTCGGATACCATCTCCGTTTAAGGCTATGTTAGCATCACTATAATAAACATCGTCATCACCACCACCATCATCATCATCATTACCATCATCATTATCTCGCACCGCACAGATTCCTCCCCACGCGTCTGGGCGCACATCGCTTGCGCGGCGTCCTTGCCGCTCCCCTCAACTCGCCCGCTCCTTCATTCACAAGCCACCCATTAACGTCTGGCTCCACGACGAGAAATGCGCCGATGTTCGCCGTCGCGAAGAAACGGCCCTGTCGAATAACATCACGAAAAAAGTTGAAGGAGGGGGGGGGGGGAAATATCGCGTAAAGGGTCTTACGAACGGAAGGCGTGTTGCGTGAGTCGGCGCGTTTATATAAAAAAAGACCCGGCAAGTTCGCGATTCGCGAGCTTGCCGAGAAAAATACGGAGGAGAGCGGCGTCGATGATAAATTCTGTGCGGCAAAGCGAAATTACGGGAGGCGTTATTGATGGTGTATACTTACACGATGGGGAGAATGGGGGCGTTCGCTCCCGCTTCGCTGATGGGGTTTTCCTCTCTTTTCGTCGGCGCGTGTGAGTGTTTTTAATCGCTATCCTTGACATTCATGAGATTGTCTCTCCGTGTTGGATGGAGCGCACGGTTCGCGTTACAATTATCATCATCATCATCACTAACGTCATGACCATCGCTCGGGTCGATTGCTCTGTTAAATTGCGCCTCTCAACTCAGCGAGACATTTCCTTCCTATCTTAAAATAAGAGACAACAACAACAAAAAAACCGCACACGCAACACACCTTAGCCTGATCTTGATTTTCTCGTCTGGCGATTCTTGACTTATCATTTACCTCTCATTCGAAAGGCACGTGTAGCGCAGCGGGCACGGGCATAATTGGTGAAATCGCAGACATTTATTTCCACCCAGCGACCGCGTAGCACCCGCGATGATGATGATGATGATGATCTCCGTGCCGCTGCCTCTAACGCACGCGACGTCCGCACGACGCACGGCGCATGGCAATTAAAATATAACGCATACAGTGCGCGTGCATACGGCTTTGCTTGCGTTAGTCCACAAAAAAACGGCCACGTGCCGTCAGCAATAAATAGCTGACGGGCGAGAGTTTGGCGGATTTATTATAGTGACGCACGGCGAACGGTGCTGTTTGACTCGCCCCGTGTTCCCGGAGGCGCGGCGTCCGTGTGTTGTGCGCGCGCGCTCAGATGAGCCTAAGCGCACTGGATGAATGTCCACACCGTCTCTTGCTCGATGTGCAGCGCGCGTGAGGAGACAGCCAAGGCAAGGAGGAGCGCTACTCTTCGCCCGGTTGGGGGGTCTGGGAAGGACCCCCCCGCCCCGCCCCACGCACACACACCCTGAAGTGCCGTGGATGCTCCAGCCGAGGTTCGGAAAGTCGACGAGCCTCCCCCGCTGGACCGGAACTGAAAGCGGCGACCAGCGGCCGGTCATGGCCAGCGGGTGCGGGGCGTGGGCGGCACGCCCCGGCTGGCTGCCGCCGCTGCTGGTGCCGCCGCTGCTGCTCCTGCTGTCCACGCTGTCGAGCGCCGAGGAGTTCAAAGTGAGCTACCGGGTCGCCGAGGAGCTACGTGAGGGCGCTTTTATAGGCAACCCGAGCGTCGACCTCCGCCTGGCGGACTACAACCTCGAGCTGACCTACAAGGTGATGTTGTCCAAAGCCGAGGACGCGGCGCCCCCGCTGGTGCGAGTTAACCCGCGCACGGGGGAGCTCTTCGCCGCGGGGCGCAAGATGGACAGGGAGGCGCTGTGCGGGGGTCAGGACCCCGGCGACGAGTGCCACGTGGACGTGCAGGTGGGCGTCTTGCCCGTGCAGCCCGGGCCCTTCTTCAAGCTCATCGAGGTGCGCATCAACGTGGAGGACATCAACGACAACGCGCCGGCCTTCGCGGCGCCCGTGCTCACCGTGTCCGTGCCGGAGAACGCGCCGGCGGGGAAGCGTTTCCCGATACAGCCGGCCAACGACCCCGACAGCGAGGCCAACGGCGTGCGCCGCTACGAGCTGCTGCCCAGCGACCCGGCGACGGTCAGCGCCTTCGAGCTGAGCGTCACCGAGACGGCCAATGGCGAGAAAGTGCCTTACCTGGTGGTGCGCAAGAGCCTGGACCGCGAGGAGCGGCAGCTGTACGAGATGAACCTGCGTGCCGTGGACGGGGGCTCGCCGCCCCACTCGGGCTCCGCCGTGCTGCGCATCAACGTCACCGACACCAACGACAACAGCCCCGTGTTCGACCAGGCGGAGGTGAACGTGGAGATCCCCGAGAACTCGCCGGTGGGGACCCACGTGGTGCAGCTGCACGCCTCCGACCGCGACGCGGGCTCGAACGCCGAGGTGGTGTACCGCCTCGGCACGAGCACAGGCGGAGCCGGGTCGGGCCAGGGCGGAAAGCGCCTCTTCCGCCTCGACCAGAACAGCGGACTGGTGACGGTCAATGGGCTCCTCAATCGCGAAGAGAGCCCCGTTTACCGCATTATCATTCTGGCCACCGACAAAGGGCCCGAGCCCGTGCCAGCGACAGCCACCGTGACGGTGACCGTTACCGATGTAAACGACAACTCGCCCACCATCGAGATAAGGGACATCGTTGCACCTGTCAACGGCGTGATCTACATCTCGGAGGCGTCGCACGTCAATCTCCCTGTGGCACTTATCACGGTTTCAGACCCAGACATCGGTGCCAATGGTGCAGTGACGTGCTACATCTACAATCCGGAAGTTCCTTTTCAGCTCAAAAAGTTAACCTACCCAAACCAGTACCTACTGGAGACACGGGAGACTCTGGATTACGAGACAAAGAATGAGTACGTGGTGCAGATAAAGGCAGCCGACGCAGGAGCGACGAGCCTTTCTCGGACAATGTCGGTCACAATCAAGTTGCTTGACAGCAATGATAATGCCCCGGTGTTTACAGAGCCAACATACAAGGTATCCGTCCCTGAGAACAACGTGATTGGAAAACACCTGATCACTGTCAGCGCCACTGACAGAGACATGGACAAAAATGCAGAGATGGTTTACTTTTTGGGACCAGATGCACCCACGATGTTTCACATGGACCCAGAAACGGGCATCATTTCTCTTACCGAGCAGCTGGACAGGGAAAAAAAGGCGAATTACTCTTTCACCATCCTGGCTAAGGACCAGGGTATACCAGTGTTGGAGGGCAATGCGACCGTCATCGTGAATGTCCTCGACGTGAACGACAACAGGCCTCGATTCAGCCTGGCCGAGTTTGACTTCTACGTGAACGAGAATGTGCCCAAGCACAGCACCGTTGGCATGGTGACGGTGGCCGACTCGGACGAAGGGGAGAACGGACGCGTCCGCCTCTCCATCCTCGGCACGGACAATCGGCAGCTCTTCAGCATCGACCCGGAATCCGGCATGATCCGCTCAAACGTGGGCTTCGACAGGGAGCAGAGGCACTACTACGTGCTGGAGGTGCAGGCGACAGACGGAGGGGAGCCTGTGAGGTCCTCCACGGTCAAGGTGGTCATACACGTCATGGACATCAACGACAACTCGCCCATCGTGCTCATGCCGCCTTCCAACACCACGTACAAGTTCGTCGTGCCGCGCACGCTGCCCGGCACGATCGTGACGGAGGTTTCTGCCGTCGACAACGACGCCGAGATCAACGCGGAGCTGCGGTACCACATCGTCGGCGGGAACCCGCACAATTTGTTCCACATCGACCCCGTGATCGGAAACATCACGCTGATGGAGCCCCTGACGGAGACGCACCACGGCCTGCACCGGCTGGTGGTGCGCGTGAGTGACATCGGGATCGCGGTGCAGCATCACGCCGTGGCCTTGGTGCACGTGTTTGTCAACGAGACGCTGGAGAATGCCACGTACATAGAGTGGCTGATTGCCGGCAGCCTGCAGACACCTCTGGACACGGACGTCGCTGGCTTTGGCAGGCGGGAGCAAGAGGACAATAAGGTGCTGCTTTTGGCAGCCGTGTTGGCCGGGGTCCTGGGAGTTGCCCTCATCGTGTTGCTGGGCGTCCTGGTGCACCGCTGCTATTGCAACCGGCGCAAGGGCGGGGGTGGGGGCATCGTGAGGGCCAAGCACGGTGGGCAAGAGTGGCTCTCCCCGACGCAGGAGAAAAAGCACAGCAACGGCGGCAAAAATAACAAGAAGTCGGACAACAGGAAAAAAAAGAAGCACGCGAACGGCGCTCCGTTCAGCATAGCGATCGAAGCGAGCAAAAATTCCGAAGACCCAACGTATCAGACGATTAACGAGGCCATGAGTTGGGGGCACGAGTCCGATGCCCCCAGCCCCATCTACGGCCTCGGTGGCGGAGGAGGCGGTGGCGACGGGGTGGCCACGACCTTCAAGCCCGGCTCGAGCAGCGCCACCGTTGGCGGCAGCGGAGGAGGAGGAGGAGGAGGAGGGGGAGGAGGAGGAGGGAGCAACGGCGGAGGCGGCGGCGGGTCCGAGAGCCCCGACCTGGCGCGGCACTACCGCTCGACCTCGCCCGTCACGCCCGTTAGCCTCCCCCAAGCCACGCAGCAGACTCCCACCGCGGGGAAAAAGTACGGCGTCATCCAGGAGCTCCCAGTGGCCAACACGTTCGTGGGCAGCGGCGGAAGCGGCGTCGGCGGCGTCGGCGGCGCTGGGAACGGGGCCTGCGCCGGCGGAGGCAACGGGGGAAACGACTGCATGTCGTCCAAACGCTCGTCCATCAGCTCGGAGCACTACAGCCACTCGGAGACGGAGTGCAGCTCGCAGAGCGGTGGGAACAACAGCAGCGGCGGCGGTGGCGGCGGTGGCGGCTGCGGCGGTGGCGGCGGTGGCAACAACAAAGGCGGGGGTCAGCGCTACAACAGACAGGTATTTAAAAGCGTTATTACAATGCCACGCGTGCGCACGCACCCCCGCGCCCACCGCATCTCACGCGCGAGCGGCGAAAATAGAAAGGGTTACGGATCGTCGGCTCATGACCCAGGGCTGCTGTACCATCGACCGCTTTGCCGTTATTAATGAGCCAGTGAGGGATAATAAAGCAGAGGCAAGGCAATAAGTATGTAGACTTGTAAAGGAGCCGGTTCAGATTAATGTGCCGATTTAATTTTGTTACGCCACCGTCTTGGAGGCCTCAAAAGCTGAACATCGCTCGCCACGAGTGGTGACAGAAATGGCCGCTCAACTGAGAACGGTGACCTCACATTTTCACGCGAATAACTGCAGGCGCAGTACATTACTACCACGTGGTAAATAATACAGATGGTACATCGTGCAGCGTGTTAATGACAGTTTGTGTTTTGACCATGAAAAAAATACGCAATATGTTGCTGGATTTAACCTTAATAAGAGCTGTCAAGTCGAATTACGATTAAATGACCATCGTGGCATTCTTATTGAGGTAGGCAGAGTAATTCCCTCTGGGATCTGATCCACGGTGCAGCAGGTGTTAAGTGATACTTTGGCAAGCTTATAACGGTTGCTTTGAATGGGATTGACACTGAGTATAATTCATTCAAGACATCACACCCAATTTTGCAAATGTCAGTCGTACCGCTGTGCACCTTATCAGTTCCAAAACAGTGTTGGACACATGCATGCTGACCCTCTTCTTTATGTTACACCAACACACTTTTTCAAGAAGGAGTCTTACACGGCTACGGGTGAAAGGAACTAGTCAAGATGACTGAAAGGCATTTGATCCATTTGCAGCACAAAGGGGAGCGTGAATGGCGTGATGGATGGTGGGAACAATAGATTATGGAGCTGTTACTTTGCCTGATGAGAAGATTTTTTTTCCTTTCCCCATCCAACAAGCTTCCACCTTCTCAAATTGCTATAGTAGCCGGACAAAGACACGACGAACAGAGATGATGGAACAAAGAGGAAGAGGAATAATGAAATTAGGATTTAAGTGAGAGAGAAAAATATTGAAATTACCAAACAAATTTAAACGGTGCCTACATTTTTTGTTTCCCTGCAAATAATTAAGGGGGAGGGGGGTTAATGTAAGGCAATGCAGAGATAATTAATGTCATCAGTGTTGAAGTGAGGAGGAAGGGCATTACGAGAGGGCTCCTGGCAATGTGCGGCAGCACCGCAGGAAGGGCGTACGCGAAGTGGATGGAGAGAGCAGCGCTCGGCATGTGGTGGTCGGAGGCGGCGTGAGGTCACACCACCCGGCTATGACGCAAGCCAAATAGCCTGACCCCTGGAGGATTGGGAAATGGTGGTGGGGGGGGGGGGGAAGTGAGTGGGTGGGGTGGGGGCTG